AGCCCAGGCAACAGAGTGAGACTCTGTCTCAAAAAAAAATAAAATAAAATAACTATTCCCAGACTCTGCCACAGTGACTCAATAGGTCTGGGTAGACCCTTCATTCTGTAAATCAAAAAAAAAAAAAAAATCTAATGGACATTCACAGCATTTAGAGAATTGTTTAAAAGGCATTTTCATCAACACTTAAAATGAGGTCTCTACTGCTATGTGACATATGAAGCCTGTAGTCACCAATGAGGAAATATTCCATGATGGTGAAGCAATCCATCTTCCCTTATATCCAGGGGTCAACAAAATTGTTCTGTAAAGGGCCAGATATTTTCCACTCATGGGCTATTTTGATCTCTCTCACAGTTACCCATCTCAGCTGCTATAGCACAAAAGCAGTCATGGACAACATGGATATGAGTGGATGGGCTCTGACTTTATTGACAAAAACAGGAAATAAATGCATGTAGCTGAGTTCCCAAAAAACTTTATTTACAGAAACGGCAGCCTGGATTTGGCCTGCAGGGTAAAGTTTGCCCCCTCTAACTTACCTGATCCCAATCTGAACATGCAGTGGACAACCAAGCACAGCTCCACTCACAGCGCCCTATGGCATGGGTGGAGTCCTCTTGGGGAAAAATAATTCCTCTTTTCTGCCACTCTCTTCCATTCGTCCTTCCCAAATCCATCCCCATAAAAAAAGTTTCTATTCATAATAACATGGCAGATGTTCTCAGTTGGTGAGTAGAAGTCCTGAAGTTATTTATTAACCCTACTTTCTATAGAGCACTGATACATGTGTTTGAAACAAACACAAGTGAATAAATATCTCTTCCAATTTGGTTCATGAGCCTGCACATGCCATGGTGAGAAAGTGTCATAAGGACACTTTGCTGGTCTTGTGCCATTGTTCTTTGGAGTGGCCTCTTCCTCTGCCCCTGATGCCAGTCAAGCCTCAGGTAAGAAGATTTCCCAGGTTCCCGAAGAAGTCTCTGTGCAGCCCTTACTTGCAATAAAGTTATTACTCCTTCTAAAATCTACTTGTCAGGGTATTACAATGAAAGACCACAAAGCAAGGATCAAGGCTCAAACACAAAAAACAAGACAATATCTCCAAAGAACTTTTTTATTTAATTGACAAGTAAAAATTGTATATATTTAGAGTGTAAGAATTCCTGATCATATATTGCCACAGCCTTTGATTTTAAGAATGACTGGCAGCCACTTTTCCTAATCCAAGTTCATTTCAGGCTTAAGATAGCAGAATGACCAACTCTATGTCATTTTTGCCCCAAAGCTCAAGAGAAGAGTGAGCGGGGATTATAACCATGGAACCAATCAATGGTTTCTCTTTCAGAAGCCTTGTGGTTTCCTTCCTGAAAGAGACAGAATAATATGCAATGTTTAAGAGTCAGGCTCCTTGGGTCCCCAACCTGGCTCTGTCTCTTGCTGGTGTACAACTTTGGTTAAATTACTTAACATGCCACAACTTTCCCAAGTATAAAATGCAGGATAATTTAGTACCAGTCTTATAGGTTGTTGTGATGATTCAAAGAGTTGATATAAGTGCAACAATGCCAGAAAGATAAGCACTACATAAATAGAAATCATTATTTCAAGGTTGCAAAAACATAGGGAAAACCATATCCAAAGGGCTCCTAGAGTG